AATCCTGTCTGCATGCCTCCTATCTCCCAAGCACACGCTGCTTTAGTCACCAGATCTGTGCCTGTCATCCACTCCCCATTGTGTCCCAAAGGCCTAATTCCTAGCCTCCAAAATCTTGTACAGGCATTAGTCTATTTCACTCTTAAAACAACCCTACAACATGAGTTAAGTATTTTTATCCACATTTTACAGAAGGGAAAGAGACTCAAAGATTTGCTAAAGCCCCACAATCAGTGAGCGAATTGGCACAGTAACTATGAGAACCATGATATTTAAAAAAAATTCTTGCTCCAGTTCTCTGCCCTCATTGCCTCCTGAATTATTTGCTGTTTTCGCTTTAGTTTCCATATACTGAGCATGCATTCAAGGGGTTTTCCCTAGAGGGGTGGTCTGTTTCTCCAGAAAGTTTTATTTCAGCTGTTGTACACTTATGTTTTGGAGACTAGCAGATTTCTGCTGGAAGAGTCTAGAACATCAAACTAGCAGGTCCAAAGGCTTGATTTTACAGATATGAACACTGAGGCCCAGGGAAGTTGAGCCACCTGCCCAAGGTCACATAGCTAATTCTCAGCAAAACTGGTTGTGCAAATTCCCAGTCTGGTGCCCCTCACTTAACGCCAGGCCCCATGGCCCTGCTGTGTAGGGCCTTAGGTTCTGTCACCAGAAGAGAGGGGGCAGGGACGGGGGTGGGGGGCAGGAAGCAGCTGGTTTGTGTCGGTCACAGCTGCTCTTTTGGCTGTGCCTGCCTCTTGCTCATCCCGCCTCCCTGTCTCTGCTTTCCCAGCCCTGAGCCAGCAGCCTTGTTGGCCTCTGGGCAGGAGGGCCTAGGTTTGTGAGCCAGGCGGCGGGGGGCAGTCTCCCACCCTGGGAGAGGCTTGCTCCAGTGGGCCAGAGAGAGGGCCCTCCAGAAGGGGGAAGTTCAGGGTGGGAGCAGCAGAACTGGGTTAATTCTGTGGATCCAGGGAACTGGGAAATTATCACATTTTAAAAAGGTAGGATTACTCCTGATCTGCTTCACATTTGCCTTTGGAGAGAGAAGGAAAGGCCTGCTTATGGGGGGCGAAGGCGGTGGGCACAGGCTTGTGGTAGAGGCTCAGTTTTCAAAGGTTGAGGGATCTTTTTCTGTCCACTTCCACCCTTCTGCCCAAATGTCCAGACCCTAAAGGTTTGGAGGGCATCAGCTCTTCAAGATGATTCTAGAAAAATCCAAGCAGCATAGATGTGAGAGCATTTTGTCTAGGTGGGCCGAGGGTCCCCACTTCTCTCTCCCAGGGTTTTGGCATCTTCCCAGTGATGAAGAGAACAGCTCCCCCTCTCTGACAGCCCTCATCTTCTAGTAGACCGAGCCCAGCCCACCATGTGGTTTTATAAATAAAGTTTTATTGGCACACAGCCCACTCATTCTTCTACAGATTGTCAGGGGCTGCTTTTGTACTTTTAATAGCAGAGGTAAGTAGTGTCCACAGAGACCGCATGGCCCGCAAAGCCTGAAATATTGGCCCTCTGGCTATTTACAGAAAAAGCTTGTTGACTTCTGTTGTAGCAGAACAAGTCTTCTGGGTTCTCTAAGACCCAAGCCAAATAACTTCCCTTGGCTCACTGAAAGAGCTTAGCATTTCCCAAAAGGTTTCTTTCTGAAGAACCCAAAAGAACCCCAAAACGAAGGTATGTAAAGTAACAAAGCTAGCAGAGAGGGAGAGAGGTGTGGGTGACCTCTTAGCTGGGTCAGCACAGGGCTCAATGGGACTAGAGGGGGCTGGGATGGGCCTGGCACTGGGGGATGCCCTTGCTGGGTGGCAGGCCACTTAGCCATGTCTGGGCCACACAGCAGCAGGAAGTCACAGCTCCAGCAAAATATGGCACCAGGCAACAAAGCCCCACATCCTGCATTGAGACCCACTCAGCCATACCAGCTAAAAGCCTCGGAGGACCTAGGAGCATCTACCTTATCTGAGCCCTATCAGGTTGTGAAAGCTGGGCAAGCATAGCTCCTGCTGCCCAAGGACACTTCCAGCTGCTAGTCCGGGCAAGAGGCTCTTGCCACAGATCATTTGCCTTCGGGTGCAGTTCCTCAGCATCCTTCTCTCCCAGTTCCAGCTGACCTGGGGACTGGGAGCATCTATGGGAAGGCATCTGACTGGGTGCCGGTGTTTCCTTGGTGCACGCAATACGGAACACTGTCTGGTTCTCGTCCTTGTGACTCCAGGAGTGTGATTTTCCTGGTGTCCCGAGAGCTGACTGAACCTGGCTCATGGGCCATGTTGCCGTCAGTGGCTAACTGCCATTAAGCACTGACTATATAGCACTGTGCTCAACAGTGAGGAACAGATTCAGAAAGGTTCAGTAGCTCCCTCAAAGGGAAAGAGCCTGGATTTGCATGCCAACAGTCAGACTCCAAAGACCTCACAAACCTCTCCACTGGAGCTCCACTCTGTTGGTTTACAGTGGGACCTGGAAGGGCAGGCTTCCCAGTTCTCCAGGGAAGGCCAGCCTGTGGTTGGAAGGTGGCTTGCTGAGTGAGAGTTAGGTGCTTTAAATGGTGAGTGGCATCTACCTGATCACCTGATGTCTGTGTCTCCATAAGAGTTGTGTTTGGGAAGAGTGTCCTTAAAATCAAGGGCACACCTTGTATCGTTCTTTGATTTCTCATAGTCACCTGGACCTGGCAAGAATTAGGCTTAGCATCTGTGTGTCTTCAGGTTGCTGTATTCAGCCAGGACCTGCAGGCCTCTGGTTTTCTCTGGGCCTGTTTTCTTCTTGCTGGTCTTGCAAGCCAGGAGGAATACCTATGGCAGGGATATGAGTTACCTGGCATGGACACTGGAGAAATCCTGTCTGCATGCCCCCTATCTCCCAAGCACACGCTGCTTTAGTCACCAGATCTGTGCCTGTCATCCACTCCCCATTGTGTCCCAAAGGCCTAATTCCTAGCCTCCAAAATCTTGTACAGGCATTAGTCTATTTCACTCTTAAAACAACCCTACAACATGAGTTAAGTATTTTTATCCACATTTTACAGAAGGGAAAGAGACTCAGAGATTTGCTAAAGCCCCACAATCAGTGAGCGAATTGGCACAGTAACTATGAGAACCATGATATTTTAAAAAAATTCTTGCTCCAGTTCTCTGCCCTCATTGCCTCCTGAATTATTTGCTGTTTTTGCTTTAGTTTCCATATACTGAGCATGCATTCAAGGGGTTTTCCCTAGAGGGGTGGTCTGTTTCTCCAGAAAGTTTTATTTCAGCTGTTGTACACTTATGTTTTGGAGACTAGCAGATTTCTGCTGGAAGAGTCTAGAACATCAAACTAGCAGGTCCAAAGGCTTGATTTTACAGATATGAACACTGAGGCCCAGGGAAGTTGAGCCACCTGCCCAAGGTCACATAGCTAATTCTCAGCAAAACTGGTTGTGCAAATTCCCAGTCTGGTGCCCCTCACTTAACGCCAGGCCCCATGGCCCTGCTGTGTAGGGCCTTAGGTTCTGTCACCAGAAGAGAGGGGGCAGGGACGGGGGTAGGGGGCAGGAAGCAGCTGGTTTGTGTCGGTCACAGCTGCTCTTTTGGCTGTGCCTGCCTCTTGCTCATCCCGCCTCCCTGTCTCTGCTTTCCCAGCCCTGAGCCAGCAGCCTTGTTGGCCTCTGGGCAGGAGGGCCTAGGTTTGTGAGCCAGGCGGCGGGGGGCAGTCTCCCACCCTGGGAGAGGCTTGCTCCAGTGGGCCAGAGAGAGGGCCCTCCAGAAGGGGGAAGTTCAGGGTGGGAGCAGCAGAACTGGGTTAATTCTGTGGATCCAGGGAACTGGGAAATTATCACATTTTTTGTCACTGGGTCAGGCAGCTCTCCTGGCCAGCTCCTTAGACTGGCATCTCAACCTTTCTTTCTCATTGTCCCCGTCGCAGCCAACACTGTGCTTCTTTAGAGGTGATGAGCAGTTCAGCAGAAAAAGCACTAACCGAGTGTTCTCAGACCTGGTGCCCTTTCTAGCCCCACTATCTGAGCTTGTGGGAACTTGGCCAGTTACTTACCTTGTCTGAACTCAGTTCCTCCCTTGTTGGGGGGGAAAATACATACTCACCTCAAGGGGTTGCCACGCGGAGTAAATAAGTCACTGTACACTCAAAGTAGACTGTCAGCGTTTATTACATGTTGACCCTCTGATATTCTAGAAGTGTTCACACCACTGATTAGGCAAGAGCATTCTGCCTCATTGTAGTGTTACTGTATCACATCTCACAATTATAGGTGCTTTTAGGTGCTTTGATTTTATTCCTCCCTCTCGGCAGGAAGACAGTTTTTAACCTCATTTCACAGATGAGGAAACTGAGGCCCAGATCAGACATGACTGTCAGAGTCTGAAATAGTCTTCATCTCTTCTGATCACTGAAGGTCCCTGTCCATCTGGTTGGAGTTGTGAGGCTCTCTAAAACGAGGCTCCCTTCTACTCTGCCAGGGCCTGTCTGTCTGTCTTTCTCAGTGGGTGTGGCTGGCGCAAGGGCTGGACGAGACCTCCAGGCCCCACTGGGTGGTGCCCCAGCACTGGAGACTGGCCTTGGGCTCTCCAACCCTGAGGCCTGATCCAGGCTGCTGAGCCTGCTGGCCTGGTGAGGACCCATGGAGCCACCAGGCCCTGTGGGGTCAGCCACCCACAGGGCTAGAGAGAAAGGTCCAGGCTGCCTTTTCCAGGGCAGTGATAAGCCGTGGGCCCCCTTCCAAGCAGGGACTGTGTAGGATTTTCTGTGCTCCAGAGGATTCCAGCGTTCAGCAGACACCTCATTATCCCCATCCCAGCGGGCTGTGTCCCAGGGCCTCTGTAATCACTCAGGCCCACGCCCAGCAGCCAGCCCGGGGCCAGGAAATCACTCCCCTCCCCTCCCCCGCCTTCCGCGGCCAGTCCAACCGGCGCCTTGCAGGCACTTGCCTGGTGGACCTCCTGCCTGCCTAACGGTTCTCTCTCCTCCTCTGATTCTTCTCTCCTGCTGCCACTTGCTCTCGGGGAATTGGGAAGTGTGGCTCTCCAGCTGGGCTGAGTCTCCCAAGAAGGACGTGACAGGTACTGCCCTGTGCATGTGTGTGAACATATGTGTCCCAGACACGCATGTGCCGGAGCCGGTGCCCACCAGCTGCTTTCCGCATGCTCCCCTGTGGTGTGTAGCAGACCTCTGTCAGCGCATCTTGGGCCTCTCTTGCTCTTCCGCTTGCTGTACCCTCTGCCTTTGCTCAACCTTTTTTAGGTCTCAGATCCATCCTTGAAGCCCTATGATGGTTGATGACCACGTGGCACAGCGTGCGAGCAAACGCACTCTGGACCTGTGGGTTTGAATCCCAGCCCTGCCAAGTCCTGGTTGTGCTACCTGGGCTGGGCAACCTCCCTAAGGGGATACAGTGCTTTCTCATGGGTACCCTGGCACGCAGAAAGTGCGCAGCTGATGGTGAGGTGATCATCATTTCAGCATGAATTCAACTGGCCATCCCTGTGACATGGGCTAGCCAAAGATTATTAATCTTGCTCCAGGCAGTTAACCTGAGGTGGAGAGCTGAAGTCTGGCCCCCAACCCAGAGAGCTGGGCAGGGGGCTGGGGAGGACTGAGACTGAGCTCTCAGGCTCCGTGCCCCAGGGAGTCAGAACTTGGAATGCCTTTGGCCTCAGGGGGGCTTTCCAGGCTGTGGGCTGCTTGGCCCAGGATGGTCCTCTGGGACTTGGGCCTATACCCTGTATCTGAGCAGAGCTGGGCCAGGGGTCAGGGGCTCACCTTTTAGCCTTTGGTCTTAGAGTGCTACCTGCCCCGCCTCCCCCACCCCACTTTCCCTAGCCCAAAGCTGAGAGCATAGGTTCAGGCTCAGGGGTTGAGGGACAAAGCAGAAGGGTCAGGGGTCAGGGGTTAGTGGGGGCCTGGGTAGCCCCAAGGGTCAGAACCTGAGGCTCAGTACAACACCCATAGCTGTGGCCAGAGAATGGGAGGGAGCCCAGGGGAGAAAGGCACCCGCGGGAGGACCCCTTGCCTGTCTTTCCCAAGCCTTTTGCAGTCATCCTTCTGGTGTTGCCTGTGATGAGGGCCTGGGCCTGACTAATCGCTGGGCTCCTGTCCCTTTTTCCCCTCTGCATGAGCCAGGGAGCCAGACCCCACTTGGCTCACAGTTATACATTTTATTCACCAAACGTATAGCCTGGCCGCCCAGGGCCTATGGAGAAGCCGGCAGGCTGAGTCCAACATGGGAGGAGCTGGTTGTGAGGGACTGGAGACCTTGGTGGGATGCCCAGGGTTTGGGGGGGTCGTTGAGAGTGTGGGGAGCCTGGGTGGGGGTCACTACAGCGCTTGGCTTCTCAGATGAGCCCAGCTGTTTGGAGAGAGTCACTGAGGGGACGCAGTGTGGGCTGGGGAAAACCAGCCAGACTGGACGTCCAGGGCCAGAGTCCTGGGCAAGCCGCCAGCTCTCTCTAGGCCTTGGTTTCCCCATTGGGAACACTGGAGAGTTAGATGAGACAGGAAACGCAGAGGTAAGGGGTCCTGTGGATGAGGGTCCTGCGGCCACTTAGCCTGCCATCACCCCAGAGTGGGCCCCAGGGACTCAGCTCTTGGATCCCCAGATGGCAAGTGTCTGCTGCCCCACTGGAGGTGGGGTTTGCAAGGGGCATGTGTCAGGGATATAGCCGTGGCTGCCTTTCCTGGCGCCTGTGGCCCTTGCCCTCAGCTGCCTGCCAGTTCTGGGTCTGCAGGGGAACCTAAACTCTCCTGCTCCTCCCCAAATCTCCCACTTCCTGTTTGCTTTATAAACACTGTCTAAAGTTTACATAGGGCATTAACCCCACACCTCATTCCATGTTCAGAACACCCCATGAGGTAGGTACTATTGTTGTTCCTGTTTACAGATAAAGAAGCTAAAGCCCAGAGAGGTTATGTGTCCTTCCCAGGGAGCTAGTATGGCCAAAGCAGGACCGGACCTCAGACCCTGAGACTTGAATTTTATGCTTTTGCATCGTGAATCTCAGGCAATTATTGTGTGCTTTGCTGTGACCTATAGCACCAGTCCTGGGACATCTACTCTCAACTCTCATCTAGAGCAAACTCTTGTCTAGTCAGGTTGGGGAGCAGTGCCCCACAAAGAATCCAGTTGAGCACAGGAGGAAGCACCGTGGCTGGAGTGATCAGGTAGCTCCTGAGGGGTCAGAGATGGTTGGGTAGAACTGGGGTTGGTAGAAAAATGGAAGGTGTTCCAGGCAGGGGAACAGCTAAAGCAACCATTTGGCAGTAAGACCTGCACCGAGCAGTGTGGCTGGCACATGGTGGGTGCTCGATACATATGTGTTGACTCAGGAATGTTGCCTAAAATGGGGGAGTTGTATGTCAGGTAACTTGGGGAGCTCAGATTGTCAAGAAAGACTGAGGTTGAACTTGGCCTTTATTCTTTATGTAAGAGGGACCTTTTGATGGTGTTGGAGTTGGAGACTGAGTTGGCAAAAGCCTCATTTAGAAGTTTAAGTTGGCAGCCAGGATCAGGCTGGAACCAGGGATCCATCCAGGTGGTAGCCAGAGGAATGCAGGTGTGAGGCAAGGGTGGGACAGGTCTCCAGGGAACTGCCAGAGCTCAGTATACCAGCCAGGGGCTCTAAGTGAGGCCCAGAGGCCCATCCCTGGACCAGGCTCTTCCAAAGTCCCCTTCCAACCTGGGAAGGGCTCTCCTGTCTAGAAGGGGTACACCCAACCCTTTCTCCATGCCTCTGCCAAGCCCTTCCCAGCCGAAGACAGGAGGCTTCATCCACTGCCGCTCCCCGCCCCTCAGGCCAACCCTTCTGGCCCCCAGTTTTCCAGACCTTGCTGGGAAGGGATCCAGAGCAGTCTCTGTAGATGACCTCACCCACCGGCCTGCCCACCGAGTGGTTTCTCATCTGGATACCTGCTCCCAGCTCATGCCCGCCCAGGCAGCACTGGGCAGGCAACACCCCAGGAAGCAGATGCCAGAGAGAGTGATCTGGGAGCCTACATGTGCTGGAGGAGGACACAGTGTCTGTCCATCCCACAGCCTTTGGAGTAGCCTCCGAGAAGTGCATCCCCCTGCCTGTCTTCTATGTTCTGGAATGCCTGGAGGACATTTCTATGTATATCCCGGAGTGTCAGTATTCAGAAAGGTCAGGCCAGTTTTCCAAGGGCTGGGCAGGGGGATATGTGGATTTTTCCCCTCTTTGAAATCTTGCTTCGGATTTCCTTGGCTTGGGTTTAAATGTGACACCTCTCCACTCTCCAGCACCCTGCTTATCCTCGCTAGCAACTCTGGCTTCTCCCTCCTTGCTCCCTCCGCTGCCCTCCTCTTTGCTTCTCTGTGTGTTCCCCCTCTCCCCTTTCACCCTGCCCCAGTCGAGTTGTCTAGTTTTCCCTGCCTGGTTTCTATGTACTGACTCCAAACACATCATTAAATGACACTGTTCATCTGTCTGCCCATTCTTTCATTTCCTTTGTTCATTTCACACTTACGGAGTGCCTGCCACCCAGTGGGCACCGTGGCCCAGTCAGTAGATGTAGCAAGAGTCAACAAGGAACCTGCGCTCCAGTCTTTATTAAGCACCAGCTGTGTACCAGGTGTGTCTGGATCTGATGAGACAGGGCCTCTCCTTGGAAACCAGGTCGGTGGCTCTCTAGGCCCAGGACAGCACAGAAGCTCAGGACACAAGGGACTGTGTTGGGTGGCCTTGGGTTCCATCGCAGCCATGTGACCTTTGGAAAATCACTTACCCTCGTGAGCCTCGGTCTGTCTGTGTAAAACGGGTCTGTAGTAGGACTGACAGCATAGGCTTGTTGTGAAGATGATGCAGTTGGGCGCTGAGCATAGTGCTGACCGTGAGTGAGCCCTGAGAGGTCACTGTTCCTTGTCAGAACAATCTGGGCTCTCAGGGTTTGGAAGCTCTCTAATCTGCTGGGGAACTCCTTTTGTTTGTGTCTTGAGTTTTCCTTTCCCATAAACTGGAACGGGAGGCCCTCTCTCCACAGGGCAGGGGCTAGCCCTCTCTGTACTGGGTGCACTTAAGAGGTACTCTTGGTCACAGACCACTGATATGCCCCCAGGGGCACAGTGGGAGGTGGTCTGTCAGCACGGGCCCCATGCTTCCCTCCATCCTGTCCAGCTAGCAGGGGCAGGTGCAGAAGCTGGCTCCATCTAAGTGCAGAGCCAGCCTGGCCCAGCTGCCCAGCTGTTGGGTGCATTTCTGTCTGAAATACAATCTTGGCTTCGGAGGGGCTGCCTGGGGTTGTGCACGTGCATATGCCTGTGGCAGGCCTGAGCTAGGACAGGGCCCCTTCTAGGTCTCCAAATAGCTGAGCTGGGACAGCAGGGCCCACACCTCTTCTGGGCGAAACCTGCCTGGGGTGGTGGGTTTCTTTCTCCTCCATTGCTCCCTGTCCTAGGTTGGTTGGAGCCTTCAGCGCAGAAAGACCCAAAGATCTAAGTAGTGCTTCTTGGTCCTGGTTGTGCTTGAGAACCTCAGGGGAGGAGGAGGTGTCTAAAAAACTCAGCAGACCAATTAAATCTGGATGTCTGGGGGTGGGGCCTAGGCATCAGTATTTTTTAGAAGCTCTCCAGGCTATTTTGTGGGACCAAGTTGAGGATCATTGTACTAGAAGAATGGGACGACTCAAACAGAAATCAGAGGCATTCTGTAATGGAAAGAGAGATGGGCTTGAACCTAAAACACTGGGTGAATTTGTTCTCTGATATAGCTGTGTGAGCTGGGGCAAGCCTTGTGCCTTCTCAGGGCCTCTAAGTTATCTTTTGTGAAATGGGAAGGTAAGAAGGTTGCTGTGAGGGTAAAATAGGACAGTGTACATGCCTGGTACAGAACACTGGCCAAGTTAGACTAGTCATGTAGGGAATGTGGCAGCAGGCTGAAGCAGCAAAGGGGCTGTGTGGATCCTAGGGACCCTCTCAGCCATTTCTCTAGCCAAGCTGGTTGTGTGAAACCCCCAGCCTTCCAGGAGATTGGTAGATAAATAGAGTGGTACACTAAGTGTACTAGGAATTCCTTTTGGGCTGGGAGTGGTCTGGGAAGGCTTCCTATAGGAGGTGGCTGGTGGGTCTTTAGTATGTGGATCCTTTCAGCTCCTAGGAGGGCATATATCATCTTAGGTGTTTTGTTCCCACCTCCACCTTAGCGATGATGACGATAATAGTGAGGCACAGAGAGGCTTAAGAAGTCTGTCCACCTTCCAGCCCAGTATTTGTTTAATGAATGATGTACTGGTCCAGCGGCTGAGGAGGTTGGAGAAGTCTCCAGCCTGCCTGCCCTTCTTCCACTGAGCCCCACCTTTTGACCCTCAAGCTCCATGAACTGCCAGGAAAGGGTGGCCAGAGGCTTCTGGGAGGCTGAACACAAGCCCCAATGCTTAAAGACTGAGGGAGACTGAGTCAGCTTCCACGTGGCCAGAGGGCAGCAGCCGGGCCTACTGATTGCCACTTGGGGAAGTAGGGCCGGGAGAGCCGGCCTGAGGCCCCCGGGCTCAGGGGCAGCGCAGGGGAGCCCGAGGGGCAGGCGCGGGGCGGACCCTGAGGAAGGCTGGTTGGGGTGGGGTGGGGGCGGCAGGCTGGGCTGGCCTGCGCTCTGGCGCTGGGACTTCCTTCTAGGGTTTCAAGTAAACAGTCTCAGCCCTCCTCCCCTCCGCTGCCTCCACCCCCGGCTCCTCATTCGATGGGTCTCATGTGTTTCTATTTAAGGCTTGCGAGTAAACCCCAGTGATTGGCGGCCTCGGACCCTCTTGACTTCTCGCCCGGCCGGGCTGCGGAGAGTCTTCCCGCTTTCTCCCGCTCCCCCGAGGGGAGGACCGCCGACTGGCCTCCTCTGGGCTCGCCGGGCCGGGGAGAGGCAGCAGCTCTCCTCGCCCTGCCTCTCTCCCCGCGCCGCTCTGGCCTCCGCCCTCATGGGCCGCCCGCGCGCCCACTCACGGCCCTCCCCTAGTGCCCCGGTGGGCCGGGGGGTCTGGAGAGACCGCATCCACCCCGGGCCTCTGCTCAGACTCCCCCATGCCGGGCTGTGACTAGCTCGTCGCAGCAGAAGGCCTTTTCCTCTCAGTTTCCTCGGCCTCCACCTCTGCCTCTGTCCCCCTCCGCCGGCCCTCCCCTCGGCCCCCCGGCTCCCCATGTCCCCCGGTCCCCGCCGAGCAGCGGGCCGGTGTGGGGCCTTGCTATATGGCCTGTCCTTGGGGCCCAGCGAGCTGCGAGCCCTGGCTGCGGGCGGCCCCCCGAAGCGGCGCTGGCGACCGAGCAGCCTCCCCCGAGGCCGATGGACAGGGGGCGCCCCGGCCGCGGGGCCATGGCTGGCCGCTGGCTCACCGCGTGCTTTCTGCCCTCGCCAGGTGCCGACACCAACACCGAGCCCATGATCCTGGAACAGTACGTGGTGGTGTCCAACTATAAGAAGCAGGAGAACTCGGAGCTGAGCCTCCAGGCCGGAGAGGTGGTGGACGTCATTGAGAAGAACGAGAGCGGTGAGTGTCCCGCATGGCTGGCCGGCCACTTGGGGTTCCAGCCTGGCTCTTGGTCAGCTGGTTTTTGTTCCCTTCCTCCTCCCCCACCTCTGCAGCTATACGGTATTTCCATCTGCTGGGGAGAAGGCTGAGGAGGCTGAAGTTTCCCCCTGTTGGTTTGGGCTGGAGGCCAGCAGTTTGCCTGGTGGTGGAAGAATTTCTCCCCAGCTCGGGGTAATTAACCAGCTCGTGCAAATGCAAGGCTAGGGTGGCAGCTGCGGATGTATCTGTCCCACCCTGTTCAGAGTCCCCAGGCCCTCTGAAGCCCACGGGGAAGGTGGCTGCAGCTCAGGGACATCTTACAGCAGCATCCCCTGTTGGGGCCGTATTCTGCGTCGGGCGGGAGAGCCCAGCTAGCTGGTGGAGAAGGCAGGCCGTGACGTCACCATGGGGTCCCAGGTGCTTGGGCCCGTGGTGGGTTGTCTGAAGAAAGGCCAGGCCTGTGAGGGTTGCCTCATGTCTGGATGGTAAGCTGACTGCCCCCTGCTGAGCTGAAGGCTGCCAGGACCTGGGAAGAGGGCCCAGACTGGGGGATGAAGCCAGGTCCTGGGGCCAAGGAGGGTCCTGCAGCAGCTGCCCTGTCACTGGGAGCTGAGGCTTTGTCTTGTCTGGGGCCTTGGGGATGGCTCTCCAGGGGCTGCTGGTTCCAGGGTTCTCACTGAGTGGACCCAAGTGCCTTGTTGCCCTTGGCAGCAGAAGTCTCTGCAGGGGGGTCGGGGGGCAACAAAGCCCATCAGCCCCAGGTGTAGGGCCAGGGGCCAGACTCAGCCCAGGGCATCCATCTGCAGTTTGCCTGCCTCCCTCTGGGACTTGGCTCAGTTCCTGGGGTGTTTTGTTTCAGTTTCAGTTAACTGCAGAGGAAGGTCCCTGGGCACAGGATCCTCTCTGGGCTGCATTTGGAGGATATGCCTAGAGGGGAGGGGCCGGCTCGCCTTTTCCTGTCCCACTCTGTTCCTTTTCAATATTTTGAGCCCTGAAAAGAAGACAGACCAAAGGACAACTGTCACTATTCTACAGGTAAACTGAGGCAGATTGAAGTGAAGTGAGTCACTTGTGGGCAAATGCAGAACAGAGTGGGGTCATTCCTGGGCCCTTGATTCCTGTGCCTCTGGGCAGCAAGTAGATGTAGAGATGCTGAGGAAATCCCTGCAGGCCTCCTCAGCGAGGTGAGCTCAGGCTCCTGCCGCAGGAGGGTCAGGAACTGTGCTCCTGGAGAACAGGGCTGTGATGCCAGCATAGGCCTGGCTCCTGGTCCTCCTGGGGCTGGGGTCTTCACAGCCTGTTCCCCTCTCAGGGCAGGCTCTGCCCTTGTGCCTTGAAGCACCACCCAGGTGGTCAGCAGTGACAGTCCTCACCTGGTGGAGCCGCACCCCTCGCCTAAAGCCTGGGCTCTTCACCCTGGTGCCCACATGTCTGCTACCTGCACAGCTTTGCCTTCACCATTGTCACGGTACCAGCCCCACCTTCCCTCCCCCAAAGGAAGCTGGCATTGTCATAGGGGCCTGGCTGTGGAAACCCTAAATACCTCAAGACCCAAAAGAAGGGATCTTTAATAGTGGAATGGGAGAGACCAGCTAAGGAGAGAGGTGTTCGTTTTGGAGCTTGTTCTGAGGAGAGATGGGTCTGCTTCTCCATATAAGGTCAGGGCTGCTCAGAAGTAGAGTTCTGGCTTAGGGACCCTCCTGCCTGTGTCACCAACACATCTATGTAACCCAGTAGGAGGAGTGAGCCCCCATGTTTTGGGTACCAGCCACTGGCCAGGATGGCTGAAGAGAAGACCCCACCCAAGTGGAAGTGAGCCTGCTCTAAGACTCCCTGATTCCCAGGGATGTGTGCGTCCTCTGCCTTCCCATCCCACACCCAGGAATCCTGGGACTCCTGCCTAGGAGTGGGGAGGAAGAGCCCTGACAGAGGGGCGGGTTCTGTGTTAGGCCTGGAAAAGATGTAGACACACCACCTCTCCTAAGGAGTCCCTATGACCATTTCGGAGGGCAGGCAGCCCAACTCCCCAGGGCCGCCCAGTCTGGCACACAGACCCTCTGTTGTCCCTGGAAGCAGGATTCTGCCCCCCACCTACTGGCTGGGTGACTTAAGTTCCTTAATCCCCCTGGGCCTCAGTTATCCCTTCTGTAAAATGGAGATAATCTGGTGGCTACTTGGAAGTAGGAGCTAGAGCAGATAACCTTCCTGAGAATTCTCCCAGGTCTGAGTTCCGTGGCTGGCCGACTCCCCAGGGCTCCGGGTATCAGGTAGAGAGAGCCTCTCACAGTATAACTTTTCAACTTCTCTGCGACTTTGTATCTTTACCCTTGGTGGAGATGGCTGCTCAGCAGCAGATGTTTTCACAGGGCCCTCAGAGTGCTACATCTGCCATGCAAACCCACAGTATCTTGCCCTCAGAAACCTGGAGTGTATGACCAGTTTAACAAGAGAAACTGAGTGGGTGGAGGGGAGAAATGAAGAGGGCCAAACAACAGGTCCTTGGGCCCTTGGGAGGGTGGTTTCCCAGTTCAAGGAAACTGGGCTGATGTCTGACAGTGGGGTAGGGGAGGCGTGTTGTGCATCCTGCAGTTTGGCTTCAGAAAAAGGGATGAGTGAGGCTTTTGAACCCTGAAACAAAGACCCAATTGTGATGCCTTTGACCTTGGGACATGGTGGGCTTGTTGAGGCATTTCCACTTGAATTGTTGGGGCAGCGGTCCCAGTTAGAACCAGGCCTACTGGAAGCCAAGATTCTGCCTATGTCCTCTTATCTCTTGGCTGGAAGTCCCTCTAGTAGAGTGTGCATAGAGGGACCGGCTACCTCTGGCTCTGTCAGCTCATCAGAGTCTTCTGGCTGGGACCATAGCCACCAAGCATTTGGAGGTATGGATGGACAGTGCTCTGTAATCTTCATTGGTCTAAAGAGAGATGTGTCTGGAAGGCAAGTCAGAGTCAGTAAATGCCAGGTACCAGGCCATGCAGTTCATATGCAACATTTTACTGGAATCAGGGAACAATCCTAAGCAGTAGGAGGCACTTTTACCATTTTGTGGCTGAAGTAACAGGCTAAGAGGTTAAGCTATTTAGGACATGGCAGGAGGGTGAGAATGGACTGATCCCAGGTAGGATCATCATTGAGCTGGTGATGCTGCAGAGAAACATGGGTTGGTTGAGGTGGCTGCAGTGCTCCCTGGAATGTCATTGCGGAAGGATGTCTCTGTGTCCCACCTTCCAGCATGGTAGTCAATTGATAGTTAATTGGTAGTGGGAAATTGATAGTTAATTGTTTTTTTGAACTTGGGGGCAAGCAACGGCTGAGAGGATCTAAGGTGGGTAATACGTACTTAGCACCAAGGGCAAGCCTGTTCTAGGGAATGTAGGTAGAAGTCAAAGTGGGACCTAACTGGCTCCAGGGAAAGCGTTTTGATCAAGCATTGGACCTGGGCCCAGTCAGAAAAGGACTGTTTCTCTATTGATCAATAGGGACAAAACTAACAGAAAGATTCAACTGCCTTGTTTGCTCTGCCCAACCTGTAGGGCTTGCAGCATCCGTTGTCTTGTCCTTGGAAACCTCTCCACCCTGGACATTAAACAACAGTTCCTGAGATGCCTCCTTTGTAGGATATTCTTATGCCTCAAAGACCACATTGGCTGTACCTTTCAGCAGGATGATCTGGTCTAACTTCTGGCAGAATGGTGATGGCAGGGTTCCAGTTGCTCTGGTTTCTGTGTTGAGCAAAACTGCTTCCAATTTTCCAGAACTGTTTCCTTCCTCTCAGGACTAGGGGCCAGGGGAGGATGTGGGGATGTGAGTCACCAGATGCTCATTCTTTTCCTCAGCTTTCCTTCTGAGTCTTTGCTTCTTTCCTGGCACTGGCACGGTAACATTTGTACTTCCTGGGAGTTCTTATACTTCCTTGGAGGTACACTGCCAGCTAAAGGACTAAGATCAAAGAATTGTGGCAGCAAGGAATTTTGAGCTCTACTGGTCCATCCAGGCTAGAAATTATGCAGGTGAGAAAGCTAAGCAAAAGGGGAGTTTGAGAATCTTCAGCCCCCCTTTGAAGTCAGTGCTTTAGTCCCAATTGAGTCCTGAGCAGAGGACAGAAATTCACTCATATTTGCTCAAGAGGTGATTGAAAGGATGAAGGAACACCTTGCTGAACCCAAGGGAGAGAAATAAATCCCAGCCTCAGGGAGCCTCAGAGAAGCAGCTGTGCTTGTCTGTGCTTCTCTCTTGGGTACCATGTGTATTTAAAGCCCACCTGTAATCTTCTGCTAACTGCACACCAGCTTTCCTTCTCTTCCTGTTCACTCGTAACAGCAGCCTATTCACTTGCTGTCGGTTTATCAGGACCAGACCCTGCAGGACTTTTCAGTCAAGATAACCACCACCAACTGACAGTGGCCTCTGGTTCTCTGAGTTCAAAATTTGAAGTTTGAATCTGAATCTGATTGGTTCCTGGTCAGCCAGTGGAGCAACAACATTAGAGCAGGTGTCCAGCCCTGGGCCAATCAGCTGTGTCCAAGAGAAGTGTCATGGGATATAAACATGGCTACCTAGCTAACCTCTTCAGCAGTGTCTGTTGGAGGGCAGGTTTTAAAGAAAGGAGATGTAGTGGGGGTAAGGTACCCAGAACATGGTGGCTGCAACTCTTTTACTTGTTTAGCAGCTGTGTATGGTGGAGAGAACAAAGATTCAGGAATCTAAATAGTAGGTTTAAGATCAGATGCTACCAACTATGTGATTTAAGTAGGAATCACTCAATTTCTGTTTGCTTGCAGTATAAGGGGACAGTGATACATACTATATGGGCTTTTTAAAAAATGAAATGTAATGATTTATTATTTGACAAATATCTTTATGTGACATAATGATGACTTTGTGTTGTCAAAGATAATGCATTTTTCAGCCATACTTTGTGAGTTGGAATCTTCTTAACATTGAGGATGTATCTGTTCTGTTACTTAGATATTTCT